GACGGACGGACGGACGGAGGAGGGCTAGAACGCGCCGAGAAGCTGCTACCAAGAACACCGACACCTTCCGCGAGTCTTATTTTTCACATCCTGTTCACCGGCGACCTATTTTTAAGCCGATGCCCTCAGTCCGCGAACGAGCTGGAAAAAAAAACCCTTGGGAAAACGGATCCGGAAAGGTTTCTTCTCCATCATTCGTATATTGGTCGTTTCTGCGAGCAAATCGCTCCCTACGTGTTTACCTACGCAGGAATTTCTCCACGCATCGGTGTTTCCGTTTTTTCTTCTTTTTTCTTTAATCCAGAGCCTAGGTCTCAAAACATAACAGGAATGATAAGCGATGATTTTTAAGCGACGATTCGCTCCTCATCGAAACACTCACGCGAAAACACCGAGCAAGTAGCGCGATTCTTACGCGGATATCCTTGAAATCGTATCTCCTACTATATCCTCCGCGCGCGTTACACCGCCTGCTCAACCATTGACGTCACAGAGAGTGCAACACAGCGGCGTGAACCGAGCCGGCGAACGTCCGACGAATTTCAATCTCTGCGGAACGATTTCGAACACGTCGCGCATTTCCAAGCGGCTGTGGCATAGCTGCGACCGTACCGAGAGGAAGAGTGAAAAAACACCGAGGTCGAGAGAAGCGAGAGGGAACGAGAAAGACCGAAAGAGGAAGAGAAAGAGAAAGAGAGAGGTACGAAGCGTTCGCGAGCAAGTCCCCTTTTCGTTCGCGCAAAAATACGCTTCATTTGTGTGTCAAACAGCGCGCTCCGCTTGTTCGCTGGTTCGCGGCTGTCACGCACGCTGCGTCATGCGACGCTGTTAAAAGTGACTCAGGTTTTATTTCCTGCTTCGAGTTCTAGTTACCGCGGCTAGTCGCGCGGCGACAGATAGCGCGAATCGATAGCGCGTTCTTTCGCTCTTCTCTCTCCTCTACGCGTACAATGTACGCGAGTCGCGAAACAAGTACGTTCGCCGGTCAACGAGCCGCCGTTTTTCTTTCAATCGTTCGAGTTCTGGGACGATCGCTGATCGACGATCGCCATGACTCGTCCTTTTCATCGAGGTGCTTCTTTCCGTTTTCTTTTTCCTTCTTTATCGCGATTCCGTCGAATGCTTGCGCATCGTTAAATCTGTTCGGTGGCGTAACCTGTCGCGGAATTTTCGGACACCGAATTAACGAAAATTAGGAGCGGAATCAAACGATTCTTTCTTCCCCTTTGAAATGATCTACGTAGTCGCGACGAAAATACCGTAATATTCGTCTGTTTTTTTTTAGATGATGCACCCTGTTATAGTTGAGTTTACTATTGTTCCAAGTGACAATGAGTCGTTCTACACCCTCTCGGTTCACAGCTTCCAAGTAACAACTTGGCTAAATTGAATTTTCATTTAATTCGTTTCGACTGACTCTCACCATCGTAAGAAATATTCTTCTTCAATTCTCTCTGGACTTGCTATAGCTATCCCGCCCGATGGAACAGGATTCTTTCACATTCTAGCATCATTCCCATCGATTTCAGCGAACGCTGCATAAAGATGACACGAATGGGTGGAGCAAGCCGTGTCTACTTCGTTGAAATTGCTCGTTGTCGAACTGCGAATATTTATGCAAATTCGTATCTTTACGCGAATGCGAAAAAAAAAAGAGAAACGGACGCTAAATAACGATTCGTCCTACCCACGTGTACTTTAACTTGAATATTTTATATATATTTACATATTCGTCTCCTCCCCCCCTCTTTCCGGATACGTGCAGATATGATGAAAAAAGCTAAAAATTTGACTAATCGATTTGACGAAAATTGAGCGATATCTACGAAACAATATTCCGTTGAGAGTATGTCGAGCGACGTCGCATTATCGCCGTCGATCCGCGACGATGTTTGCTCGCCGCACGATGCCTCCCCCGGCTGGAAAACTCCGGCGATAAAGTTGCGCCGGTAATTCGAAGATAAACACCTCGACAGGAGCCGAGCTTATGTAATGGGGTACTCGTACGTGTACACGACTTGTACTGGTCGTTTTTTTTTTTTTTTTTTTTTTTTTTTCAAACGATCAATTTCTGAATACATTCGTTTTTACTATTCGATCGTCGCGAACATTTCTCCGGGAATATAATTCAATAGACAGAGAGATTTTCAGACAGGCAGAAAAAACTTGTAAACTTTTGCAGCATATGCAGTTGGAGATTAATGTACATCATTTACCAATCGGGCGATTCAAAATTCTTTGAAGTTGAAATAAATTTAACCTTTTTCAGTTAATCCAAGACGATATATTAATTCTGCGATTTTTTTAACTTTTTCTTCTTACCGACGCTTTATTTTTACAAAATGTCTATCGTACTGAGGTGGTCTATTTCTAGGCAATGATAGGCTTCGTAGTTCTAAACGATGTATATAAAAAGAAAAAACCGTACGCTTTTAAACTAAAACCTATTTCAAAACTAAGAACATAATTACCCGTTCTTATCGTTTCGTAAAGAGATTATTGAAAAAGAGGAGGAGGAGGGGGAAAGGAAAAATATTCAAAGAAACGCGTATCGCTGTATCTAGTTGGCAGCATCGGTTCTGCAAAGTAGCACACGACGCACTTGGAGCGATCTGCAGGTGGAAATCGCCGCTACAGGACGCTACCGATTCTGTATGGCGCAAATCGAAAGTGAGATCGAGATCATCGGCTACCGCGTACACGTACGCGCGTGTACGCCAGAGCCGAGCAAGCCTAGTTAAGGAGATAGTGCCAAGTAGGTAGGTAGAGGGCCTCGCACGAGACTCGCGGCGACATTTCGGGTCGGGAAACGAGCGCTCGCTCGCTCGCGCGCGTGATTCTCTGATTCCATTAGCGCACGCACGTGCAACGCTTGCTACGTGTACACACAACGCTTGCATACGTTGCGTACGTGTACACACGCGGGCAAACGAGTGAGCGAGCGCAGCTCGTTCGCCACGCTAGCCCTGGCCTAGATAAGCCGGCTGGCTACTCGGCTTTGCATCGTTGCATCGCTTTAAGCCCGACTCACGCGCCGCCGATCTATCGCTTCGTTCTTCTTTCCCTTCCCGCGGCTGTCCGACACGTCTATTTCAACCTAATACACGGCCGGTTCTCCCAATTTTTTTCGTACGACGTACGTCTCTCATTGTCAGGCCGCGTGCAAATGCGCAACGCGTGATCAAAGCATCGCCCGCTAATTTCCGTGACTCGTTCTCGTAACACCGTTTCCCCTGCCAATCGATACTCCACTAAATTACGTCGTTCCTTCTTTTCCCTTTCCTTTTCTCCACTTTTCCTCTTCTTCGGTTTTTTCCAATCGAAAACGAAATTTGACGAATACAAAGAGATACGAGTTGACGCACTTGACGAGTGCAAATTTTTTTTCTTTTTTTTTTTTTGCAAGGTACAAATTGTCCCGTTCCCGCGTTTCACAAAGCGATGAGAACTCTGCGAGGCAATAAATATTTCAATTTTACGCAACGCGTTGATGCGTAAGATATACTTTCTGCAAGACGCACGAACCACTGTGTTGATCGTTCTTTAAATGTATGTATCTTAGAATTTATTAATATGCTATCCTCTTGCTACAAGTGAATCAACAAATGTCATTTCTCCAAATAAGAACTGAATGCATACTAAAGCTCGGCAAAAAATGGAATTTCCGAGAGACTGATACTTTAGTATGAGATATACACATCTCTCAAATGCATAAAAATCCAGCTCGACTAGATTGAATCAATTATAAACTCGTGACTGTTAGTCTTAACAACACGCGCGTCAAGTGACAAGGTTAAGCTCGAAACGAAGAGCCTTTCTTCCTCCTGGTAAAAACTGATACTTCCTGTATCGTGAAGTATCGATCGGGGATCGATTCAATTAGAAAAAAGAAACTAAAACAAACACGAGAGGAAATGAAAGGAAGTGAAAAGAAATCTCGGCCGACGTATGTAGCTCGAAGGGGATTCCACAGTGAGAAGTTGGCTTAAGGTCGCGTGAATCCGTGCACCGCAACAGCGGACAGTGAAACTATGTCGTTTTTCCCCCGACTCTTTCCTTTTCTTCGAGCGGCAGTCACGACGTTGGCAGAGAGACCGATTCGCCTTTCCCTCGAATGGCGAATCTCTACCTCCGGTGGAAGATAGATTCCACTTTTCTCAATCGTGTGGCAACGGAATTTTCGATGCATTTCGCCCAGAGATCTGCCGACTTACGTTACCGAGACCAATTCGTTCGATCGGAAACTGGAATCCCGTTCTTTGCTAAACGTACCTGCTGCCTTTGATGGATCTATATATTAGATGATCAGCAGTTTCTTCTCGCTAAATCAATCCGCTTTTTAACTAAACTTTTCTTCATAAAACTACAATTAAAATCACTTTAACGTTCGAAATGTTCACGAGGTGCCATTTCTTCTAATGATCTTTCTATTTTCTCGTGAAGTAACTCTTGCATTGTTCTTGGATATTTTTATGGTACATCTGAAGATTTTAATGGTGCTGCTGATCAATATCTAATCCTACAATAAATATATGACGAGCTCAGACAACCAATCCTAAAAATCCAACATTCATTCGTAATATTCGCACAGATTATTCTTAAGTTTCCAAAAATTTCTTTTTCACCACTTTTATTTATAACAATTTGCGAAATTAAACCGAATCCTGATAACATTGAAATATAAACTTCCAGGTGTCCAAAAAATCAGAATAAATGTTGAAAATATACGCGAGATGGCACTTTCATTGCCGAATCGTATATTTTCAACGTTTATTTTGATTTTTTGGACATGAAGAAGTTTGCCGTATTGCGGCAAAAATCGTTTTATTATTTTCATCATTGTGCGAGTGCAGTTTGTTTCTTTTTTCTTTTTTTGTCCTTTCTGTTTACAGCGAGTAAACTTGAAATACTCCTGAACTGTTAAGGGTTAAATATCAAAGTTTCAAATTCACTTATCCGTTCAGGCAATTTAACCTAACTTAATAGTACAATAGCATTTCGGATGTCTACGCAACGGTTAATGGATAACGATGGATTTCGAGGGTTCTCCCATTAAATGGTTTCGCAAGAACGTATCCATTAGCTCGGCGGACGAAATTGGAAGACGAATAAGCGGAACACGCGCGTTGACGCGCGTACCCATCATCCTACATAGATGTATAATACAGTAACCTCGATTCCAATGAAAACGGTGTTACGCCATTTTCCCTGTCAGTGAAATGTGATCTATTTTCACGGAATTTGCCGTGGTACAGCGGAGCTCCGGCTGATTCGCGCCGCCTCACTTTTCCAGCGATAAAAGCGGTCGCGTCGATTGCACGCTATTTTTCTATTTTTTTCTATTCCCCCCCCCGAGTGCAAAGGCAACAACTGTTTGTGTGGTTGTCATTTTGTTTTGTCATTTTTAACAATCGGACGCAGCATGACGCTAAGGCTCGAAATTACGAGCGTTCGTAACCGCGTGAGCATGTAATCGCGCGATAACACCGAGATTACCAATGTAGCCCGGATGGTTATGCGGAATGTTACCCACGGTGTGATCGTAGGTTCGTTCCCGTGTTCAACGTTTCGCGTCTAAATATCGCTGACTAGCGATCGACTTAATCGATCTTATAATTTAAAACCTGACGAAATGACGCGGGTCACGTTCGCGTAACATCTCGCGTCGATCGAGGAGACGATCGCGTACATTCGAAAACCATCACCGTGTAATCGGCCGGTACCATTGATCCGCACTCCGAGCGCAGGCGTCATTATTCAATTTCCACGAACGTAATCTGCCACGGTGGCCGAAGCCCCAACAACGCGTGATCTATCTACATGATTCATCCGCGTCGAGAGTTCTCCTCTCTTGGCAATTGGAACAACGCGATAGGACGCGCGGCGAGGTGGCGAGAGGAAATCTGATGAGGGAAATGAAA